GCACCTAAATCCAGAATTACTCACTCTGACAGAGAGAGATGACTATCTGCTAGCTGACTTACAAACAGCACCACTGTAAAGTGAAACTATCCAGACCTGTTGTCACTGAGTAGGAAAAAAAAAAAGCCAGGAAAAGTATTCCTTAAAGGTTCTGGGCAGACAACATTCAGAGTTACTGAAGTAACTCAAAAAACATTTCAAGCTGTTTACAAAGTTCTAGCAGCAGTTACTGGAATTACAAAAAAAAAAATTGTATTAATGTTTTCCTTAAATTATAAAGCTTTTAGTTCCTTGTCATTGAATGTTATTCTCCACCTCATTATAATGGGCATATTTCAGCATTTAACATTATTAGAATAACAAATGCTGATTTTAAGGAGTTAAGAGATTAAAAAGATGGTACTTAAAAACGTAATTCAAAATATTACATTATACATGCCACCATGAATCTGCAGACATACTCAGTTTCATTAAGAAAAAAAACTCTTGTAAATAGCGTGCTTCCTTCATACTGTCAAATTATTTATTCCTTGGGCAAATGAATGAAATAAAAAATAGCATGAAATTTCTTATCATAGAAGCAAATTAATTCTGGGCCCCACAAAATCAGCAATAGCCATTTATCTTAAAGGTTTAATGTTTGACCAGCAAGGCAGTCTAACACTAATCATTTGCCACCAGTCTTTCAACTAAGTGACAAAGTCAAGAATGCTAAGATCTCCAGAAGACACGCTCTCAAAAAAAATTTTGTTTTCTCAATTAAAAAAAGTTACAGCAATCCCACAGAAATTCCAGAGGTAAGACACAAAGATCTCTCTGCAAGATCTTTACTACTCAGAATTAATCAAAGCAAAACAGCCATCCTAGTGATAATCCCCTTTACTGCTTCACAGTTTATGCAATAGTCAATTACTGAAGAGGATGAAAGACAGAACAATCTTTGCAAATAGGTCACTGTCTATATTTATAAAGATTAAAACCAGCCTGCTACTAAAAGTAACTTTTAATAAGCATAAAAAGTAACATTAAGACAGTGCATGTATTTTACTCTTAAATATATTCTATGTCTCCTGTGACAAAAGAGGAGGTAACACTCAGCAGAAACAAAGTTATTTCACATAGGTTATGCATTAGCATTGCTGAAAGCAGATTTTAATTTCTGTCTGTAATGATTTTATTCCAAAGTATCATCCTCATAAAGATAACACCTAACCATTCTCGACATGATCTCTGAACTTACCT